TTCGCTGGATCTGTCAGCTTTCATTACATTAATTTATCGCATTTTCTGCCTTTAGACATTTATACAATATGTATTCCATGTGTTAATACAGTAGACATTAAAATATATATATATAGTCTTTTTTATTTTTAAAAACAAAAAATGTAATTTTGGGTATGACTAAGATATGGTATTGCAGCCTTTGTGGGCTCTGTTTCTAATGACCTTCAGTAAGTCACTTGACTCATTGAGGTCCACGGTAAATGCAGATCCCGAGAACTGTGGTGCTGAAGTACAGACATCAATTTTTTCCTACTGAGTGACAAATGCATTTTTCGATCTGAAATATTAGTCAGACAAACTGAGAATACAGGAAACCAGCTTGTCTTCCAGAAACCTTTGGAAATTTGAAAGTCAAGTTGTTGATGTTATAAAACAACTTTACAGAGAGCAGATACATAGATTTCAGGAATGTCCCTGTTGATATGGAACCATGAGGTTTCAATATCTTTTTTGATGATTGTCTATGTTATGTAAGGAGTTATTGTCACTTCTGTCTCCGAAGAGGAACTGCAGCAACTAAAAGCTTTAACGACTTTTCTGATGGAAAAAAACCACGTTCTACAATAGCTAATCTTTGAGTTACAAGATGAATGTTAAATACCCAATGCTTGGAATGTTGTAAATTAGATATTATCATCATACACCCCATGGTCATCTCTATGGGACATAACTTTCAGTCTCTATTGAATAAAATATGCAAGTGTTTCACAAGTCTAGAAAATAATTGTTTAGACATATCAGGACATCGCTCCCACACTCACCTACCTCGTGCTCCCACGCCACGTCTCCCTCTCGACCTGCCAGGCAGCACGATCAGTTCAATCACCCACGCCGGTCATTCATGTTCATGCAAACAGCACCTCTGTTCACATGAATGCCACTTACCCGATGCAGAAGGAAAAACTCTATGTGTACGAACGTCACCTCTATTTATGCGAACGCTACTTACATATACTGCAGACAGAACTCCGATCATATGGATGCCGGCTCCCAAACACAGCAAGAACAGAAGTCTGTTTGTGAGAACACAGCTGCTTCCACATGCGACCACACAAAAAGTAGATATTCAGGAGAATCAAAGGGCGTACGCGAGCCGATGCAGAGTCTTTTAAAGGTACAGGAGGTGGAGACCAGGGAGGAACCTCAATTAACAAGATCACCCACTTCCCCTCTTTAAGTCACATACACCCTTCACTCTTCACTCAGTTCTACTGTGCTCCTGATTGTGTAAAGACATTCAGAGACTCTCCTGTTGTATCCTGATCCTGTTCCTGATTTTGACCCTTGTCTGTATCATTGCTTCTGAACCTGTGCCGCATGTCCTGATGTTTGTCTTCCCCCGACTATGCTCTTTGTCTGATCCTTTGGTACTGCGAACTTGGTTCATTGCATCTTGGGCTCCATCCACTAAACTATGTTTCCGACAAGACAGCAGATCTTCATTAACATTACCAAGTGGAGGAATAGAAAACTTATTTTGCAAGCCACTAGTGGAGATTTAGCAAACATCTATATTTTATACACAAAGTAAAATATATTAATGTTTACAGGGGGACACCAAGCACCATGGGCACTATAGCCTGTGCAGTGGTTAGATACTGTGCTAAAGTTCTTGGGGTATACCCTTCCCCGCATCAAATAACTCTAGAGCGATTTAACACAAACCAAGGGTAACGCTCAGTATATTGCTAATCATATCTTTCCATAAGTGTCCCACGCTGGAAATTAAGTGGGTTGTTAAAGAATAATTTACTAAAGGCAACATTTGTAGCAGCAAATTGATTCCCAAAAATTAGGGCAATTCAGAAACTTCAATTTGAATAAAAGTTTCTTTACGTCACCTGAAATGAAGAAAAATAGCTTTGACTTTAATTGACTCCAAATAAACCGGCTTCTCAACTGGTCAGGATCTACAGTCTATGTCTTATCTCCTCAGTCCTCTGTTACTCCGGAGATCTTATTCTCCATGAGTTAATAAATACCAATAAAATAGATGATTGTTGAGGAAAAAAAAACATGATAGATGGCTAGCGGACAGCCACTAAATGTTGCATTTATTCATAGATCAAGCAAGAAGTGACCAAAAGAGAAGAAACAAGGAGGAGCAGTAAAAATAAATAAATAATGTATACGTATATATATATTACATATTTAATAATATATTATGTAAATGTATTTAATTTTTAACAACCCTCCTCTATTTCCCTCTTTTAGTTTCTGTTTTGCACTTGATCTGTGACCGAATGGCAGGAAAATGTGCCGATCAATTTACTGAAGAATATAGACATATTTTCTTGTTTGTCCAAATTGTTACATGATTCAGAAACCAGATTTTCGACCATGCACAAGTCTAGTAGCCAATTGGTGTACTGTTTTGGGGTACAGATCCTCCGTCTAACCCTAAACTCCTCGCTAAACCTCTCTCTTTCCAAACCTTATGTGACAAACAAGTGCCACGAGCTTCTGGAGGAGCCTGCTTGACAGCCTCCTGCCCACAGACTATGGGCCCCATCAGGGAAACCTGTAAAAGACTACCAAACTTGACCGACTGTTAGCACTGATTTCATGGAAATGTTTTGGGCATAGGACCATGTGCACGGGACCATGCACGTTTGAGTTTGAGTTTTACCCCAGCTAGTTGACAACTACCCTACAAACGTGGGAGGCCTATCTCCTAACTCCTTTTTACAGGAGGTGTAGGATTAATACTGACCTACCCCAAGTACTGTGATGGCATTAAATGCGGTCTTCCAGTTTTACTGAGTATAACTCGCCTGCCCTGTCCTTGATCAGTGATATAGTAAAGGCTTTTGACCAGTTCAGCTTGCCTTACTTGAATATAATTCTAAAGAAACTTGTCTCAGCCTGCATATGGTGCTCTTGTGGCCATGGTCAGTCAGATTGGCTCCAGCACCTCTGTATAATGGTACACTTCAATGGTGTTCTAGTAAGTCCTACAGCCTGTGATAAAATGTATTATGGCTGAATCTTCTTATCCGAAAATAGAAACATTTTCACGAACGTTACATTTTGGCCATATTGTGGTTTAGCTCGTCAAAACTTCAGTAACGAAAAAACTATTTGGAAAACAAATCATACGGCACCATGTGTGGAATTCAGAATCACAAATCAAAACGAACATGCTTGTTTGTTTGGTTCGTGGAATTCAGTTCAGGAATTCGGCCAATATTTCCCAAATTTGGACAAATCACACATCATAATAAAATGAATCTCTAAGTCACCCATATTGTTCTTTAAATATATGCTGTTATGGGATTCTCACCTTTTTCATTTGTATTCTATTTATACCTTTCTATATTATATCTTACGTTAACAGGATGCTTTTTTTGGTTCAAAACATAAAACTTTCTAAAAGTCTTTTTAAAACAACAACAAAACTTGAAGCTACTAATTATTCATAAACATCTAATTCATATTCCAAGAGCTAATACCAAATATCATTATGGTAGCACTTACTAAATCATTGAGGAAGGCGCGTTTGTGGCATCAATCAATGAATTCCCACTATATCAGAGTTTTTGGAGAAAAATGACTGTAATTCATCCAGATTGCTAATTAATTCCTAGCACTCCTACATTAATGCTTGGCAAAACAAATGTAAAGACCGACTATCAAATAGATAGAATGCATTACTATAATGTTCTGCTAGACAAACGTAGCCAGTAGACGCAGCTGAATTGGTGTTCATCCGAATGCAGTATTTTAAGAAGAAAAATATGACTTGCAATCACACGCATCTGTTCAATAATGTATTTCCTAATTAGTTTACTGGATCTTGAAATATTTTTTATTGTCATCCAGTTCTACATTTTATACTTTTTGTGTATATCAGAAATGTGCTATACTGCATGTACATCCCCGATTTCGGTGACAGAAGTCTATTGCAGAAGTCTTCCCTGTGGTATGCTCAATTGGATCTCTACTCTCCTAATGGTACTGTTAGGTCCATAAGTACTTGGGTAAATTACACAATTTTCATTATTTTGGCTCTGTACGCCTTTACAGTGGATTTGGAATGAAGCAATTAAGATGTGATTAAAGTGCAAACTATCTGCTGTATTTCAAGGAGTTTAACACAAATATTGCTTGAACTGTTATGAATTACATCAATTTTATACATAATTCCCCCATTTTTAGGGGCTAAAAAGTTATTGAACAAACTAACATCGATAATTTTTTTCCCATAAGTCATCATTTTTTTTTGTATTTATTTTTTGCACCATGTGTAGAACCTGGTGGAGATCCTTCATAACACTGGTTGGTTTGGTTATATTTGACTGTCTGGTCTTGCAGAGATACAGATTTCAGCCAAACTACTGATTGGCCTAAATCGGAAGAAGTTTAATTTGGCTGAAACCAATGCAGCACCATATATACACATTTGTATGTGCTACAAAGTAAAACTATAATCTGTGTTATATTCAATATAATATAATATAGTGTATCCTTATCCAATTGTTACAGTATTCAGCTACTACCACACATCTACATACCTTCTCTAAAAACCACAAAAAATATAAAGCAGATATAATCCACTGAGATATTTAAAGGATTTCTATAGCGTATAACACTATAGCGCCTCTCCTCCCCCAATAACAGACAAGGGTTTAAAACAAACTTTATTTACTCACCGGATTCCAGCGTCGATCACCCTCAGTGCTGGGTCTCGCGTTGCCTGCTCCGACTTTATCTGACTCAATGCTTTCCTATTGGGTTTCACTGCACAAGGGCATCCAGTGTCATTTCAGGGACCCAGTGTCCGGTAAACTCCCGGAAGTGCCTCTAGTGGTCTGGGTGCCTATAGGTTCCCTTTAAGCTTTTTTTATATGTTTATATGTTTTTTGAAAAAATGTAATCTGGCCTTCCTACTCATTGGAATGAAGTTGTTATGGTTCCAGGTGTTCCTTGGCACTGACAAAGTGTTGAATCCAGTGCCGTGTAGCTCTGTCTCTCTCCTTCCTCTTTTGTCTGAGGCTTGAATCAGAAGGCCTGTGATACCTATTACAAGCCTCAGACATAAGTGCCACTGAGTAGCTCTGTATTAAAAAAGCAGCTTGAGAAACGTATGTATTTTATCGAGGGCGATATTCTCAAGTTAATCAGCGGTGTATCTGTCTGATAATTCTTGCTTGGAACCTTGTACAAAAGTGGAAGGAGAGGGCATAGCTAACTGGCACTGGACTCTATACAAAAGGTAAGTTATTGCCAGGCACCCCCTAGCACCATAAAAACTTAATTCAATGAAGTTGTTATTGTGCCAGTAGAGTCCCTTTGAAGCTTACAAGTGGTTTGTTACTTCTGGTAAATCCTCTTTATTTCCATGACATTTTCTCTTGATTGTATATGATATGCCTATCATTTGGGGTACATTCTTGATGTAAGAAGATGTTATATTGGGTAATAATTCTACAGTCATTGAAAGGAGATATCTGTGGTCTAACAGGACTTTTTGTGTTGCCAGTTACCAGTTCATTCCTTTTTTAGAATTAAGCAGTTTGTTGATCTGGCCACTCCTAATGTTTCTGTTATCTTTCTGATGAGTGAGTTTTGATTTTTTTTCCAGCCTAATGAGGGCCTGATTTACTTGCATTGACAGCTCTTTGGACCTGATATTGAAAATTTACATCAATGGCTTGAAAAATGAAAGTTTCACATTTGGAGTTAACTCCAGAACACTGCAGTGTCAGGAATACAAACATCTATACAAACATAACCAAAAGCCTGAGTTGAAAGTTTGCTGCCTGAGACCTGACCAGAACTTCAACAGCTGATCCACTGCCGTAAGGAAAAGGTAGCCTTCTGGAGGACCATATCAAGACTTTATCCTGCACATTATCATTTCATTGTATTTTACTCACCGGTGTAAAACATTTTTAAATTTTTTTTTTTTTTAAATTCTCCACTACTTTGTTTTTGTAACCTTGTAACTTTTATTTTAACCTGGACGTGTATAGAGACAGTTTTTTATATGTATATGTACAGATAATGATGCTTAACAGTGTTTCCCACTGTATGAGTTGCTGAGTTTGACCATTGAGTGATGCCAAAGAAGGAGGTTACAAAGAGCAGTTGAGAGGCATCAGAGCAGTTAGGGTTGTTGATTGGGACACTAAAGTCCCCAAGGATAAGAGAGTACCCAGGTAGCCAGGAAGATAAGTGTTCAATGCGTAAACTAGGATGGGTAGAGGGATGATAAATGATGGCACTTGTGTGGTTTAAATAGGCGGACGGTGTGAACTTCAAAGGAAGGAAAAGACAAGGCAGAGGCTGGGAAGATTGGTTGAATGGTACATTGAGGGGAGAGAATGATGCTATTCCTTTACAGTTGTTAAGTCTGGGAGTGTGGTATAATTGAAGGCCACCAGAACATAAAGAATCAGGAGTAGCACTATCAGAGGGTGTCAGTCAGGTCTCAGTGAGTGCTAGCAGGAGGAGAGATTAAGTCATGTATAGCTGTAGATTTCCATTTTCTGTAGACAGAAAATTTCTGCAATCAGGGAAGAGATGTAATCTCTCTTCTACCTCTTCCAACACTTCCCCCAACACTGCTCCCTCCTTTGTTCTATGCTCACTCACACCCAATACGCTAGCAGAGGTTTCTGCTCTGCTTCGGTCCCACATCACTTGTTTTCTCAATCCTATTCCCTCACATGTCTCCTTCTGTCTCCTTTTCTTGCTCTGCTTCTCACTTAACCCCTTAAGGACACATGACGGAAATATTCCGTCATGATTCCCTTTTATTCCAGAAGTTGTGTCCTTAAAGGACCACTATAGTGCCAGGAAAACATTCTCGTTTTCCTGGCACTATAGTGCCCTGAGGGTGCCCCCACCCTCAGGGTCCCCCTCCCGCCGGGCTGGATGGAGAGGAAGGGGTTAAACTAACCTCTTTTTCCAGCGCCGGGCGGGGAGCTCTCCTCCTCCTCCCCTCCCTCTTCTCCTCCTCTTCGGCTGAATGCGCATGCGCGGCAGGAGCTGTGCGCGCATTCAGCAAGTCCATAGGAAAGCATTTTCAATGCTTTCCTATGGACGCTGGTGTCTTCTCACTGTGATTTTCACAGTGAGAAGCACGCAAGCGCCTCTAGCGGCTGTCAACACACACTAACACACACACTAACACACATATACTAACACACAAACACACACACACACACACTAACATACACTAATGTTTTTTCACCAAACTCCTGAACTGGATACAAGGGAATGCTCCAAACCCCCGAATACAAGGGAATGCTCCAAACCCCCGAATTGGATACAAGGTAGCACTCCAAACTCCCGAACTGGAACCTCACAAATAGCTGCTAGCAGCTGAACAGGAAAAAAGGATTAACCCTAGCTGGACCTGGCACCCAGACCACTTCATTAAGCTGAAGTGGTCTGGGTGCCTATAGCGGTCCTTTAAGGGGTTAAATATTCAATCTCTTCCTCTCGTCTGGCATATTTCCTTCCCCCTTCAAGCATGTAACCATCACCCCTATTGTAAAAAAATCCCAACCTTCACCTTAACTCCCCATCCTATCAATTCTATGCGCATAACACGCACATCTATAGCCGTCTTTCTCAATTTGTGTCTCGGACTGTCTCACTGCTATTTTAAACTGGATGGCTGATCATTCCTTAAACTTAACCTGTCCAACATAGTACATCTTGTCTTTCCTTCCTCTAGTGCTGCTACTCCCGTGTCTGTCTTCCTCCAAGTCAATGACATTACCATCAGCTCGACCTCAGGCTCGCTGCCTAGGTGTTCTTTTTGATTCCAATGTCTCCTTCACTCCTTGTGTCCAGTCACTTGCCAAATACTGTTGCTTCCATAGCAAAAACATAAAAAGCATCCCCCCTCTCTAACACCGTATGTGGCTAAGGTCCTGGACCAAAATTCTGGGGCTTGCTTACAAATCTTTACATATTGCTTCTCCTACCTACCTATCCTCACTAATACACAACTATTTCCCGCTCAGGCCCCTATTCTCTGCCAAAGATCTGCATCTATGCTCTGTACATACTTTCACCTCTAATGCCCACCTTTAAAACTACTCTAGAACTGCGTCGTTCCTATGGAACTCACTCCCTTCCCTGCTTCATTAGACTCTCTGTTAATAGCTTTCCCTCCCTTCACTTTGGCAACCTACCTTTCTTCCTCTCCTGCAACTGTGACGGCACCCCCAGGCATAAAAGGGTTAAACCGCCGTTTAGTAGATCTTCCCTTCCAGAGACACCAGCACAGCTACTGCAGAACACCAAACTCCTGAACTGGATACAAGGGAATGCTCCAAACCCCCGAATTGGATACAAGGTAGCACTCAAAACTCCCGAACTGGAACCTCACGAATAGCTGCTAGAAGCTGAACAGGAAAAGCACCCAAGCGGCTTACACTCCTAGCAATCAGTCTCTAACAGCATACAGTAAATCCCCCCCAGAGACGAGACAGAGCTCCGTGTTGAGGGTCAAACAGTGGTCTTAAACACTAGGCTCCTAACGAACTTCACAGATTTCTCAGGTGGATTGGGTCCATAGAAGTTCAGCTGCAACCACATCTTATGGTCAAACTCCTCTAAAAAGTAGCTGTACTCCACTGCTGGTTCCATCCTGATGCTGTCAGGGTCGCTGTAATGGGACATACGTTGCCCTCAATTTGTAAATCCAGGGAATGGTGTCTCCTTGTAGCTGTCCTTCTGGCTGTAGGAATGATCCCGCCGCTTGCCACCAATTGTAACGGCACCCCCAGGCATAAAAGGGGTTAACAACTATTTAGGAGATATTCCCTTCCAGATATACAGGCAGCTACTGTAGACACCAATCCACCGAACCGGAGAAGCATACAAATGCTCTCAAACATACGAATGCTGTAAACAGCCGAATGGGAAAAAACATACGAATAGGTTTACACTCCTAGCAGTCAAACTGGAACAGCATACAATAAATCCCCCCCAAGAACGAGACAAGGCTCCGTTTTGAGGGTCAAGCAGGAACAGACATTGCTGTGGGTTTATTGTACTTATATACACATTCTTACACATTAGTACCACCCACAGGGTTTTGGAAAACAACCAATAAACACGTACAATACACTCAGACACTCCCACACAAAATCCTCCCCTCTGCCTGTGATACAATTACCTTACACAATGGGTAATGTAATTATCACAGGCAGAGAAATACAGTTTTTCCACATTATTCATAATTTTAAAAGTATGCATCACATTCACACTTACATTTTCAGAATCAGCATACTCCAAATACAAACATATGTCAAAATCATACAAATTGGTCCAGTGGTTCAAAAGATAGATCATAGTCCTTTGTGACCAAAAGTGGCATGGCTTTTCTGCCCAAAACCAGTTCCACAGAGTCTTCTATCCTGGAGATAATTGGGAAGTAAAACAATTATCTCCAAGGACAGAGGCAAAACTCCATTGAACACATGGCAGCAAAAGACAATAAAATACATAAAAATATATAACTGTGCAGCCATTGCATAAAACAGGTACATTCAACATATCCCCGGATAGCTCAGATCTGAGCGCACATTATTACTGAATGGCGCTCAGATCACACACATACAGATCAATTGCCATGGAGCCAAAGTCTTTCCCATAGTCTTTCATTATACGAATGGGCTCCATGGCATAGCTATCTGGGGCATCAACGCTCAAACAGGGCAAGCACCGAATGACCCGGCTTTCGTGTCTTTGTAGGGGAAAATCAAGCGTTTCAACATGGGGCCATAGTCTAAAGGCAGCAGGCGTGCAACCAGGCTCCTCCAATGCACAGTGGCGAGATTGGTCTCGTCACATAAACTATTCTAGTAACCTACTTTTTGCCATATATGAAAATTATCCTACCTTAACCTCTTGTGTCACTTCACTCCACTAACTCTAGAATGTTATCTCCTGATTATAGACTTTATGATGTGATATTTATGTAGTCTCAGATGAGGGCTTAGTGGAGGTTCATATGAGTCTTTTGTTTAAATTGTGATTGAGAGGCAACATATGGCTTAGTCCTAACTTAATACAGATTAAGGAACAGCGAACACAAAAAATACAGGTTTAGATCTCACAATGCTGCTTAAAGTCACCTATCTTAGCAAACGAATAGTGGAATTCAGTTACAGCATATGGCCAAGGGCCATAGAGGCACACCAAGAACATGCATTACTCAACAGTGGTGCTGC